CTTTAAAAACTACAAGGGGCAGCCCTATGGGGTTGTACGCAATGGTAGCGCAGGACTACGTGGGGTTATATAATAAGAATTATTTGTTAACTGCAGCAGGAGCTTGTGTTTTGTGTAGTAATAGGAATTTGAGTGGGGTTCTCTCTGTCTATTCTCTTTAGTATAACGCGCTTGACATAGTATGTTAGATTTAAACAGATCTAGATATAGCTGGAATTAGGTGTAACACCTTTTGTAAACAATGACTTCTTTCGATGATTTTTAGGAATTCAAGGCACGTCCACACAAACCAACATTGCTGTCTGGTAAGAGAAGTCTTATCCAATCTGATTTTGATGTTGATTTGCGTGGGCGAGCCTTGGCTTTCAAGACATCATCGAAAGAAGTCATTGTTTACAAAAGCTGTTACGCCCTAATTCCAGCACTATCTTGATATGAGAACTGACATCCGATTGATGACCTTGACAAATGTAAAAAAAAAATAGTCTTTTACAAATTTATGGTAGTCCTGAAAAGGACCGTTTTGTCGTGATGGTTGAGTAATGCTGAGCTATTAAGGTGTTAAACACAGATGAGGCTGGTGAGCTGTATGTTGTTTGGAATGAGGGTGACGCGCTTGGCATAGATGGCCCACAGCGACTCACGAAGAGCTACTGATTCCGATCAATAGCGGTGTGGCTTCTTCCTCCTTCTATGGATGCCCATGTGGGCTACAGCTCACTGCTTGCAAGCAGCCTTTCGTTGTGTACTGGAGAACAATGTTCAACGCCACGTGCCGAAAGCACTGCTGATGATGCCGACGACCGGACACCACCACACACGGTGATTGGAACTGAATCCGATCAGCGGTTGAGGCCAGCCTTGATAGCTAGCTGCTTGCGGGGAGCTTTTCGTTGTGTACTGGAGTACACCACTACTCACCACACGCGGTGATTGAAACCGTTTGGTGAGACCAGATGGAATTCAACTTTGAAATTTGTGTTAGGGAAATCGCTTTTCGTAGGCAACCGGTGATAATTTTAAGTATCATAGCAACAGTTGCACATTCGTGCAATTTTCAATAGTGAAATTTTGAAAAATGATTAAGTTTTACATATAATAGATGCGTCTAAATATTTCTGATTGACTGTTGATAAAATTATTGAAATTGGTCCAGGGGCAGCTGAGTTATTAACGTTCAAAATCTTTCATAATTTTATTACATGTTCCATTTCCGTTTCCCCCATATAGAAAGCTCAGACGTAGGGCCAATATTATGAACTGACCACTTTTACTAATGTCCAGGATTATTCGAAAGGTTGCCCAAGTCACAAGTGCGAATTCATTAAAATTAGTCTTCTAGAAGTGCTTTCGAAAAAAATACAGAGCTCTAAGCACAGTGTCAAGAATTGACCATTTTCGCTGTTTTTCAGGACCTTCCACAAGCTCACCTAATAGATTCCAGTGTCCATTTTCCGGTGACAAGTCCGAACTAGTTCAAATAAGTTTTTTATACGTGCTTTTGATCTTCCAGAAGGTCATCCCGTAGCCCCCGGGGTTCATTTTTCGATCACAAGTCCAAATTAATTCTAATGTGTCTTTTATAAATGCTCTCGAAATAACCGCATGACCCCGGGCTCAATTTTCCTATCAGTGCTTTTCAAAACACCGTAGGACTCTAAGACCAGTTTCATAAATTGACTGAATTTTTACCAATTCATAGAACAACCTAGACTTTTCAGTTCATGTTCTTCAAAAGAAATGAGCATTTTTTTTCTGATTATACTTTTTTCATAAAGCCTAATGTTCAGCCTACATTTTTTTTTTCGTAGATGGTTTTGCTCTAAACTCGAAGTTTTTCCAAGTAGGATTATTTGAATAAATTGTGTGTCAAAACAAATACGCTCTTGTGAAAAATTATGCTTGTTTCCAAATGACCCTGTGCAAAGTTTCATTCAAATCGAAGATTTTTTTTATAGTCACTTTAACGCTCTTGGGTCATTCGTGATTTGTCTGGGGGTAAGATTTGAACTCGTGACTTTGACGTGAGAGGTATGGATGCTAACCACTACGCCGGGGTCGCCCCCCAAATCGAAGATTATTTGCGAATGATATCGGCTTTACTCCATGCTGAGTGAACCCCCACACAACGTGACTGTCTCGCGCAGACAGAGCAGCAGGCGGCAGCTGGCAGTGCTGCTAGAAAATATTAATAATGAGCAATTTGTTTGGTTAGCAATCAGTAATGGCTAAATAACTTTTTCCATAAGCGTCCGATCGTTTTGCGGTCTTCGAAGAAAAGTTTCCTTGTAGTTGGATTGGTTTATTTTAGAGGACAAAGGGTGACCTCTTCAGATTTTTATTTGTAAAGGTAAGTTTACCCATAGAAAATCCTATGTAAAATTAAAACCGCTGGCGCTAAAATATAGTTCCACCGATCTAAAACAACTATTGCTCAAAAAAGTTCATCGATTTCCATCGGAGTATAGCAGGCGTAACATTTGATAACGGCACAAAAGCTTTTGTAAACAAACTTTCTAAGGCCCTTTACACGCTAACCAAAGTACGCTTACACAAACCAACAACTTCATCGGATAGGGGCAGCTCTCACCTTTCCGAAAGTGGTATTGATTTGCGTGGGCGTACTTTGGTTAGCGTGTAAAGGGCCTTAGAAAGTTTGTTTACAAATGCTTTTGTACCGTTATCAAATGTCATGCCTGATATACAGCATTGGAAGAAAGAAAGCAAACATCGTGATTTTTTTTGCTTTCTAGGAAAGTTCAAAGAGCTGTAACTTTTCAGTATGTTCTTCAAACTTTCTTTAATTTTTGCTGCTGGTGAATTCTTCTTAGTGAACCAACCTGTTTCAAATGTTGGCTTCTTGAAGCACAATGAACCAAATGAACAGTATTTTTTCACTTTCATTCAAAATGTGATGCTTTTTATCGGTTTAAAATTTACTGAAATCTATTCACGACGAACAATATTTGTATTATGTGTACATAAAACTCTATAGTTTCCAATCTCCATCTAAGATTGCTAAGCCAAATCACCTAAGTATAGCATCACAGTCACAAAACAACCCATGGTCGATACCATCTGGTATAGAGCATATCTATAATACTACAGTGCCTTCCCGATTTTGGCAGCGTGACCTCATCAGCTATTGCTTTTCCCAGATTTTTGCTACACAGCAAACAAATATTTCAACAGCGCAATCGCAATATCCTAGAGCGCACCAAAATTCGAATGTAATAACGCAACAATTGGAAATCTTGCAGGTATGTTAAGTAAATTTTCATCGGTGTGCTCAATCCCATTTAATTTCAGTACATTCGCTGCCTGAATGGCAAATTTTCCCTTTCGTGACAATTACACGGCCGATTAACACGACTCAAATTTGGGCTTCGTTCACTCAAATCCGCAAAACACGTAGGTGAATAGTCCAAGTAAAATGTTCTTTCATTTTCTAGGAGAAGCTAATCGAGTACAGCTTTCCCTTGAAGAACGAGTTACCCACTGAGTTCTACCCACCGCTTTGTCTCGGTGGATTTTCAACCAAGCGCTCTGATTTTCTGCGAGTGACTGGTTCTCCATTGGCACTACTCACATGCAAAAAATCAGACCGACTGGTTGAAACTCCGCCGAGAAAAAGCGGTGGGTGCAACTCAGAGGGTAACGCGTTCTTCGGGGGATAGCTGTATGAGGAAAATCGAGTATTGTCAGTATGTCAGTATCCTACGTTTTCGCGATTTTCAGTGAAAAACCACTAAATTTTGAGTTGATCTTATTAGCCGTGTACCTGGTTCCCATACTGAATTTTCTTAGAGATGGTACTGTTTTCTTGGTAGTCATCGTTGAAATTCAGTATGGGAGAAGAGAGAAAATAAATTACTTTCAATAACTACAAGCAGTACTAAAAAATTCACGTCCGAAAGGTAGTAAATATATAACTTCTTTAGAAATATTACATTAAAATTTACTTGTCAATTTACTGTAAAATTGATAAAACAGTTAATTCCCCTAAACTTTACATCCTACCAAGAGAATAGGCTTAGTGGCCTCTCACACAATTTTCTCTCTCACGAGCTCAATCTCTCTACATTCCATGTATTTTTATGACACACGATATGTGATTTCCCTAGCACAGACTACAAAATAGAGTCCCTCGTAATGAAAAAAAAGTCGCATTTAGCTTCACATCCGAGGTCCCTCATATCAAAAAACGCTTCCTACTTCTCGCTTTTTTTTCTGATTGGGACGGGGCATTTTGTTTGTTTTGAGTATGCTTCAAAGGAAGGACTTCGGATGTGAATATAAATGCATATATAGAGGTAGCAGATAGCAGATCATTTTGTAGTCTGGGAGAGGGATATCTAGGTTTTTTCACTGCACTGTCCTCTGTTATCAACTAACGGAAAACAATTTATGCGTAATTTCCTAAAGATGTCACCACAAACAACAGTAGTGCCATTTGATGGCGAATTAGCGTAGAAACCATTTCCATTAATCGAAGTAACACCAAATAAGTAAATTTAAACAACAATGAATAGTAATGTTTTTACTTTGCTGTGTAGAGCTATCTGGGATTTTTTAAAAAGAAAAACCGGACATCTGCAATACAAATAAAGGTGTAATGAAATCACAAAATATGTAAAGAAGACAAAACTCATGTGCCATCAAAAACGGGAAGGCACTGTAATATGCTAAATTCTTTAAAGCTAAAGAACAGTCTTCGATAGTCTTCGGCGAAAAGTTTGGTGTTTGCTCGCTGCAACAAATTTGACAATTATGTCTATTTCATACCAAGCAGATCAGATAATTTCGCTCACTTTAGACGCATAAAAATAGCTATCCAACAGCGTTGTCGGTTATCAAATTAGCATGAAAATGTAATCCGTTAAAACCTTCTTCCATTTTACCCTTTGCAGCCACACCTGTGTGTTACGAAACTTCTTGCAATAAATCAATATAAATCTTCTTGCTTCATTCCTTTCTTTCTCCCTCAAAACAACAACCAGAATCAAATCCTCTGCGATCTACACTTCGCAGACGTCGCCCTGATGGAGTGCTCGGACTTTATGCAACAGCTGCGCAGCTTTAAGCCACAATCGTTGGGATGTGCCGTGGCCCGGCGGAAAAGTTCCACCACGCTCATCTTCCCACTGCCACCGCAGGCCTGTTCAGGTAAGTTCACCAGTTGGTAATCAAAACAGATGACCCCATGGGGATATTTAGGTTGCAAGGCCAACAAGTGTGCTTCCAGTCCAGAATTGATCCCAGATCGAAAGAAAAATATGTTTCCCCGGGAACGATAGCAAAAATGGGGGAAAATTGTTTGCTCAAGTCTTGGAACGTCAACAAGCGCGTAAGATAAAGTTGGAACATCCGATACACATATTTTTTTTTTTTCCTTTTAAAATTCATACGCTTCTTCCGTCCATGGCTGATCGAGGTCATCCGTTCACGTGCAACCGATAGAGCCGTTAAGATAAGCATTTCAAAAACTTGGCACATCCTTGCTCGGAAGAATGGCTGAACCAGCTGGGTGATAAAGTTTTCTCATCATCAACTTGTCGTTAGTTAGCCGGTTAGTCCGTGTCACTTCTTTTTTTTTTCAAGGGGAGCATAGGGTTAATGTTTCCTAGAAGGACCATGAATCAGTTTCACATGAATTCGCCAGTGGCATCTGAAATTAATCCCATTTAATTCACTTCGCTTGCTCCAGTATCGTAATCAAGTAAATTCTAGTTCGCTGAAATCAAGCTGCAGGATAGATTGTATTTATAAACTTAACTTTCTCTCTCAAACATTCCACGAAAAATGTAGAAACCAAACTTTTCCCCAGATAAAGTATCTAACAAGGATTACAAAACTCAAACTTACCCTCTCGAGCAACCAGGTCAAACCAAACCATCCCGATTCGCATCAGCATTCTCGGCGACATCGTTGCTGAAAAACTAACGCTGCAAATTTTCCCCCGATCCGTAAAAGTGTGCAAAAGCTCATTTTCTACTTTTCCATCTCCATCACTCCATCAGCACAGAGTTATCTCCCCACCTTCTTCGGTTCGAAAATTCGCATAGTTTCCAGCCCGGCTAAACTCAATTTCCCACTCATATTGTTCGCCCCGTTCCGATATAAGTAGATCATCACTCGCGCTTTCCACAAAGTCGGAACTTCCGGCTTTTTTCAGCACCCCCCGCGCACCACCGCCTTGATCTCGACTCTCCCTTTTTAGCAACTCATCAATCAATCTGTTGGCGAACCATTATGGATGAAAAGAAGGAGGGCGTAAAAGTTTCACTACATTATTTAACCCGCTGCTGGCTGGCACTATACTTCTTCGGTGCTCTTTGAGCTCTGTGTTCACGGGTGACGTCAGAAATATAGAACGGATGAAGCGCATCACTTTGAGATATGAAGTGATGGAAAACTTCAAGCGGTTATCTCAATCTTTTATCCTCCCATTGAACGGGGGAAAATTGGGCGATGTATGTTTTTGAATTTTAAGGATTTCGGATTTATCATTTCCGATTAAGGACTGTCAGGGTTTTTAAACGGACACACACACTTTCAGTCACAATTTTTTTTGTTTGTCTGCTTAATTTGATGTTTTCTTCGGCAAATAAGTCATAATTTAAGCAGAAGTTGTCCAAGTTGAAAATTAACAGGATTTTTTCTGGAATGTTCTCTAAATTTTCTTTAAAATCATTTCTATTCACAGAGTCCTTGTCAGAATTAATCTGAAATGAATTTGAGAATCTCTATGGGATTCCCTTGAAAAAATTTTCATGACAGCCCAGAAACTCAATGCTGAACACTCTTTACAAAAATCATAGAATTCATCCTAAGACTTACTTAGAAGTTTTAATAATTCTCCCAAGAATTCACTAAAGCTTCCTTGCATAATTATATTATAGAATTTTCAAGCAACTAACCTAAGCATAGTCGTTAAATTCTGCTCAGAATTATCTACATTCTTATCGAAATGCTCGTGAAATTATCCACGGAAACCTCTTGAAAATTTTCTTAGAATTCCTTTGAAATTGTAATTGAAAGTGTATTCTTCTCTGAAATTCCATGGTACAGCAATTTTTTTTTTAACTTTACTCTGAATTCAATACCCTCAGATTTTTTTTGGCATTACCAACAGAACTCTCTAGAAATTTGTCTATGAACTTATTTGAAATATTCATTAAAAATTGACCAGGAATCTTCTTCACAATCGTGGCGGAATTTTCCTCAGAACAACAACAAAAAATCAACCTTGAACTCTCCTTCTGCTTAAAATTTATCTTGCACTTTTCTCACAACTACCTAGTAACTCTTCCTGCATCTGACTTGGAGTTCTAGTCAGTACTTTCTTGGAGTTCTTTCCAAAACTCCCTTGGAAATATACTCCAACATACTTTGGTGTTAGTGCAAGAATGTAATGTTTGAATTGAAAAAAAATGGTAACCCTCCTAACTACGAGTAGAACTTAGCCTAACGTGCTAGATCACGTATGATCTGATGAGTTGATCTCAGATAGGTGTCTCTGAACCTTTCCAGGATAAAAACTCTCCGATCTTCTAATGTCTGAATTCCAGCCAGGAGGTGGATCTCAGAATTTCTAGTTCGCGGGGGACTGTTTAGGTTCATCCTAAGGATCTTGTTCTGGATCCTTTGGAGTTTAAGGTGATGGCATTTGGCGCAACTATCCCAGATTGGCATCCCGTATTCTATTACGGGAAGGCTGATTTGTTTGTAGACAGCAAGCTTATTTTTCAGGGATAGAGTAGACCTCCTGTTGATGAGTAGATACAGTAATCTTATCAAGATGCTACACTTGGTTTTGGTTTTGTCAACGTGCTCTCTGAAAATCAGCGTGCTGTCTAGTGTTAAGCCGAGGTAGACTACCTCTTTCGACCATTCCACCACTACGTTCAGGCAGATCTTATTATTCACCAACGGAACAATTCACGAAGATTTAGAGTGTGGAAATATGATGACCTGGGTCTTTGCCGCGTTGATACGGATCTTCCAGCTGTTGAAATATTCAGACAGGACGTGCAGGCCTCTCTAAAGTTTGGCAGTCAGAGCTCCGATGACCCTACCCTTGTAGACGATGGATGTGTCATCTGCGAACAGAGACAACGATCCACCATCAGGGAGAGTCGGCATATCGGAGGTGAACAGGTTGAATAGAATGGGGCCAAGGATGCTTCCTTGTGGAACTTTGGCACCGATGTTGAAGCATCCGATGTGATGCCATTCAGAGAGGCTCGGAACGTCCTGTCCGATAGATAGTTATTCATTATCTTCACTAGGAAGATTGGAAGACCGTACTGCTGCAATCATGCAAGACATTGTCGAACGCTTTTTCAACGTCCAACAACGCCATGGCAGATGTTTTCGAAACAGACTTGTTCCGTCAGAGAATGTTTGTTATTCAAGTCAGCTGGTGGACGGTCGAACGACCTTTCCGAAAACCAAACTGTTCCTCGAGTAATAAGTTGTTTTCTTCGGCACATGTTAGTAGTCAAACTTTCTACGTTTCCCTTACTTAAGCATTTAGATCAGCATTCTATGCCCCTTTTTTATGTTTTTGCTGATTTAGGTGAATGAATAGAAAAAAGTAGATAAATATGATATTGAGTATTGATTTGCACCCCATTATAGTACAAAATGACGCCATGTATGTTGTGGGATAAAACAGTTCCCAAAAAAATACCCCAAATATCAAAAAAAAAAAAAAATCCCCCGAGGAACCGTAGGGTGGTGACATGGTAACTCACAGCGAGGTGAGCTGTAAAACTGCGCTTTTGAGGAGCATTCACACAAGACCGGACGTTTGCTCACACGAATACAAATTGGATTCCAGCCGGAGCACGTTCTGGATCTAGTCGCTATATTCAGAGTCTGGCGGATAGAATCTCGGGAGCCAATTGAGCTGTCAAATAGCAGAACCACATCAGCTATTGCGAACAAAACTTCGGAAACCCTTTTCTCGTGACTCAAGGCTCGCCTACACAAACTAATACTATCCCTATCCGATGATGCTGGTAATTTGCGTCCGATTGGCGAGCAAAGAATAATCAACGTTTTGTTTTCAAAAGTTGATAGTACCTTTTCATTTGTTGGTCTACAATATATTGAATTGGTTCCGCTTTTTGATAGATCGAAATTATATCCGCCAGACTATGAATGTAGCGACTATAGTTCTGGTAGGTGTAAATTCTTTCAAAATCGGTATCGTTGGCGCACGAAGCTTATTCCTTGATTGCCGAATGCATCAAAACGATATAATCTTATTGCGAACTATTTCACAAGTTTTGCACTTTTGAGAACGGTTCAGTTTTATTTACACTAAACTAGAGCTCTTATGTAAAGATTTATTGCTGGCCTTGAAAAAGGCCGTTTGCTTACACTTCATTTTTATGGGTGACTGATAAATTGAACAATTCCTACTGATTGAAATGTTCAAATTATTCGTATATCGATGGATCAAAGTTGCTCCGATGAGCTGGTTTTTCGACGGAATTGTGGGTACGTCTTTGGCAAAGATAACCCACGGACCATGGCGGCGGTTCTCACAAAGGTAAGTTCAGCTTTTCTATTTCCCTGGACCAATTTGCGTCTGAGTCTGATTGTTTTTCATTGGTGTGAGGTGTATGTATTGAGCAACGATACTACGATGTCCACGCTGCAGCGATCAAGTCCAAGGTCGAACCATCCAACGTGCATCGTTGAATGATTGTGCGGCTTCGGCTTGTGTCGTTAGGGATCAACTTTCTGATGGCTGTGTTGAGGGTGAGCACCTTGCGGCCGAAGAAAATGTATGGGAAATTTGAATATTTCCATATTTCTGCATTGTTCCCAGCCCTGCGTTTGAGTTAGGAGAGGGGGTCTTCCAAACTCCAACTGTAGCCCCACCATACCAGAAGCCAAGACGCTCCACAGAAAATTCACCGGAAGAAGCATTCAGATCCTCTGATCTAGTCCTGCCGAAGATTGACGACTTACACCATTATGATGAATCAACTTCTGTTTGTTTACTGGGACGCACTGCCGTTGGCATCATGGAAGCCCCCTAGCCCCCCGCCACAGTTGAGCCATTCCCGCCAGCGACCTGCAGCCGTCCCGGCCCAGTGTGCGGGCCTGGTGAAGGGGTCTTCCAACCACTCGTTTACGGCAAGTATGAA